TAGAAAATCATTAAAACAAAAAAAAACATTATTGATGTATTGGGTTCAAGTATACCATATTTTCAGCTAGTTTCTTATATCTATATATATATATTTATCATAATATACATATATAATTATACACTAATGTACAGTATTATAATTTTTTATAGGTATTCTCAATATTGTTTATAACAGTGTTTCCAATTAATTTTACATGGTTTTATTTTGTAATTTTAATTTTATTAAGCAGATGTATTTATTATAAACACAACAGAAAAAACCAGAACCATATTCAATATTCTTCATTATTCCAAAAAATGCAAAATAGCACAAAGTGGTTCCGAGTGATATTTGAATCATTGGCTTAGGCAATTTATTAGTGATTACAATTGCAGCAACTGAAATTGCCATTTAAGAAACATATGGTTTCAGTTGGCAGAATTATGTTAGGAATTAGTAATGTTTTGTTAATAAATTTTTAATTAATTTAACAAATAATTTAAGTGCCATGTTTAGATACTATTGGATACTGAAATATATAAACAATCTTTAATAGTTTTTATTTTAAGTTTAAATTATTTTTTGATCTATATCTGCTTTCTCAAGTATCTGAGTCATTAGTTTTAAACCGTATGTTTTGATAAGATCTCATAATTCTGACAAAGTGGTCTTTAACGACTTTTATTGAAATGTGTGTTATAATTACATATAACAAGTCTAATTTTTTAAAATATATCTAAAACATTCATTAGTGTATACAAATCAAAAATATGCATTACTTGAGAATGTGTCATGATAAAACTAAAAAAAACTCAGTTATCACAAATGTTTTAATATTTGTGATTTGTAACGCTGAAACGAACAAAAAAATATTTAAAAATAAAATTTATAAAACTACTATTTTTATTCCATAACAAATTCTTTCGCTAGACAGCTAATGTTGATCTAAAAAAAGAAAAAAAATTTAAATAAATTATAAATAAAATTATAATTAAAAATATTTTTGTCCTATGCACAAATGTGTTCTACAATATACAATGTCGAAATTATTTTATATAGCTGTGATTTATGAGTTAGTTATAAATAATAGCACAGTAAGTTATCAGTCCACGGACCAGTCACTCGCATTCGAAAAATAATTTACGAATAATTAAACCAATAGATGTTTCTAAAGACCACTGATGATGACTATTTGGTAGTATTCAAAATAGCTGTGCGGTTAGCCTAAGAATTCACTTGTTTAAAAATATAAAAATTGTTTAGGATTTGAAAATTTCAAAGCTATTCTTCCTAATTTGATTTTTTCTTATATTAATATTACTGATCATAATAACACGAATTAGGATTTCAAAAATGAATTCTTCTCTGAATCTATTAAGCTCTACGAATGGATCAAAACAAAATAAAAAAGTCGAAGAGCAAATATATTTAGATCAAATAAATATAGGGTAGTAAAAAATGATTTCTGGTCTAAGCCTGGCACTTGCAGTCCAAACAAATTATATACGGTCTATAAACTAATAAAAATTCGATTATTTCCTAAAGACCACTGATGATGAGTACTTGGCAATACTCAAAACAGCGTTGTATGGCCAGCCAAATTTCAATAAATTAAAAATAAATTTTTGTCCTTGTCCTTTCTTTGCTATTCGAATCTATTAACTTTTAAATGATTTCGACCATTTGACTACCAAGGGAAATAAAAAAGAAAGTTGTTTAAAATGGTTCGTATTCGTTTTTGAAGAACTATGATCTGATGATATTACTAGTCACACCAATAAGCTTATTAGTTACATTAATCTATTGGTTATAACATTAGTCCAACGCAGTCATCCTGCTTCCTGTGACATTGAATTCTTAGATATTAGATCCCACTTGCAACAGTTAAACTGGATATCAA